TGTTCCGAGTTGGCTTTTAGCTGGGCACTCGCTTTCAGCTCCCGGCCAATCGACTGTGACTTTTGTTTTTTTGCGGAGAGGGGTGGATATTTTTCTGAGGGGAACAAGCACGATCGATTTGCATACAACAAATGCAAACGAAAAATAAAAAAACAGGAGAAAAAAAAAAGAAAAACCGCCTCAGTGGACAGGCAAAGGCATCATTAGGCAGCTGGCGCAGCGATTTCATTGAATAGCGAATGGTGGGTTTATTATTCTTGCCTTCTTTTTTTTTTTTGCTTTTCTGTGGCCCCAAATCACCGCCCATTTTGCTAAGCAAATTTGCAATTGGCTGCAGTCCGCTGGAGTTCTCGAAAGTGGGGGTCCGTCGTTCGCATACAACTCTTTCTGTCTTCTGTCTTTCTGTATCTCAATCGGTTTTCGGCTCGCTGTGGCCTTTGCTTCGTGTTGTCATTAAAATGTAAATCCGTTTAATTAACATTTTCCCCCCAAAACAATCCCGACGACCACCGGCCGATAAGGCAGCCGAAAAGAATTGTTATAAATTGTAAATAAATTTTGACTTTGTCACCGTATTTCGGATTCGGATTCTCGGATTCAGAATCGAATTCGTTTCGATTGGCAGCTGCATCGTGAGAGTTTTGACATGTCCGGCCGAAGAGATTTTGGACTTGGGTGGCTGTTTGTTTTTCCCCGGTTTCTCGTTTTTGTTTCTCTTTCGGGGGGCATTAAATTATGCATAATTTACAGATTAATATGAGGCAGCATGGTGGCCGGTGGCCCGTCGGCGATCTCTATTCGGGGGTCTCCTCCTCATCCTCCACTGAATCTACCTGATCCGTTGGCTTAATTAAGACATGGACCGCGAGGTCTGGGATCTCTGGGTTGATCAGAGTTTTGTGTTGATATTTATGGTATAGATCGCTCAATATGCATATCGCCTTAATACTTATTACAGCTTAATAAAAACGACTCAACTCGGTCCGAGTTCGAGTTCGGTTCGACTCGATTCGACTTAGTCATCATCAGAGGCGCTTCATTATGCCCATAATTGGTCAACAGGTAGCCGAAAATGGCTGTGCTGCCTAATTGAGTCCGGAGATGATCGAAATGGGGATTGAGCAGAGAGTTTATCATTGTCATTGGCTTTGGGAGCGGTGCCTTAGAACTCGCCACCGAGTTCGGGATCGTTCGCTTAACCCGTGGATCTGATCAGTGGTTTAGTGGATCAGTGGATCAAGCAATCAAGCCATCAGTTGTTCAAGCCAAAAACATTTTGTTGATCACTTGCTGCCAATTTCAATTTGGCATCGATCTTCTTCACACGATCTCTCGATCGATCAGCATTTTTATTTCTTTTGTTTTTTTTTTTTCATTTTTTTTTTGTTTTGCCAAAAGAAACTTACCTGAGGCGGCCAATTAAAGGCCAAGTTGGAGCATTCAGACATTCACTCACGATCACCTCCTCTTGCCAGAGTTCTCTTCTCTACTTCGCTATTTTTCCGAACTTTCCACTGAGCGGAGTAGAGTAGAGAGTGGAGTCAATTCAGTCTAACTGGCGATCACCGTTAACTCGCTGGTTACATGCCAAATCGAATCAAAGTGTGAGTGATCATTCAATTAACCCAGCACGCCAGCAACACCAGGAACACAGGCTGCAGCAACAGCAACAGCAACAACAACTGCAACATCGACAGCGACAACAACTCGACGACAGCAATCACACAAGGCAGCAACGACAGCAGCAGTGCCATCATCAGTTAAATTATGTGATAATATGCCAACAATGAGTGTGCAACAACAGCAACAGGGAGAGCAACCGCGGCAATCTCTCGGCAGCAACAGCGATTTTACCTTTTAGCAATCAACACGCAAAAGCCCAAAACAAACGTGTTGCAGGTTGCGGGGAAGGAGCAGCAACATCAGCAGCAGCAGCAGCAACAGGAGCTCAAGCTGGGTGCAACGAGCAAGCAGCAACAGCAACAAGTAGCAACTGCAACGCGGGAGCAACAGCAGCAGCAACACCAAAGGCAACATGAAATTGTCGCACCATTTTTGGTATTGACCGCCGGCGGCTCAATCAGTTTGTCACCAGGGCGATATATAGAGTGATTAACTGCTCTACGGATTGGATTGTACTTTGTCAATATATGCGGAGAGCAATCACACAAAACTTGACACTGCAAACTGCAAACTGAAAACTGCGAACTGCACACGGCAGCAACATTCAATCGCTCTACGTGCCGCAATGCATAAGTGCAATCATATACTCGTATGTGCTAAAAATCTAGGCAATATTTGATGCATAATTGCCTTAGGTTTTTGTTCGCCAATCAATTCAATCAGCAAATACAATCACGACAGCCAGCAGAGCCAGCAGAATCAGCAGAAATAGCGCCCAGCGGCAGCAGCAGCAACATCAGTTGCAGACCCAGCAGCAACATCAGCAGCAGCAGCAGCAACATCAGCAATCTGGTTGTTGCCTGTTTGAGTGACGACAACTGGCGACGACTGCGTGGCGTCCGTGTAATCGCACTTCATGTCTAATTAGACTTGTTTATGCCAGTTTCGAACAAAAGTGCAGAGCAGTGAGCAAAGCAGGCAGCAAACTGCATTGCATGCTTATATTTTTATGGCTATCTTCACGGTTATTTTCATTTAAATCGCAATTCAAACTCGCAGCACAAACACAGCGACCGAAAATGACATTTTAAATGACAATTTTGCGCCTTGTGCGCCATGCATGGCAGCCCAATGAAAAATTAACGTAATAATGCAAATTGTTTTATCAATAAATTCTAGACACACACACACACACACACACAGAGTCACACACACGCATACAGATAAACACTGGCGGCGTAATTATGATGATTGTTGAAATGAATTTATGTGTCAATAAATTTAAAGCAAATTAGCAAATGACGTTTTAAGTAGACGACTACGACGACGCGTTTTGCCCGCGATTTATGGACTGCGATTCGTTCTTTTTTTTTTTTTTGGTTTTTTTTGGTTTTTGTTACTGCTTTTTTTTTGGCGTTTCGAATTTGATGGATGATCGCCCGGCTATAAAGTGTTTGTCTTTAAAAGGCATTCAAACTTCGGCCGATTGGGGATTTTCCGGGGGTTCAAAAAGCGGGTGGAGCAAAAGCGTTTAGTTCAAAATGGCGGGCAATTAATCAGCTCTTTGTTGGCATTTTGTTTGGCCTTTTGTGCCTTTCGGTTTTTCGGTGTTTTCGGCTCTGTGAAGTGTTTGCCTGAATTTGCACTCTTTTCATGCCAATGGAGGGACGAAAAAAGGCGGAATTTATATCTGATTTAATTGGCGCTTTTCCATCACAACATCGAACTGTGAACTGCGATGTGAATGGTAATAAAAGGTGTATTTTTCTACTTTGTTACTACATTCATCAAGCTATCTGAGTGATATTTCAGCTCTTTAATAATTCTGGAATTTAGTGGTTGAGATCCCTTTTAGGGCATTTAATTACTACACATTCGTGTTGTAAGTAATTTTAGTGCTTCCAAATGAAGTCGTATTCCCATATTTCCACCTCATTCATGTTTCGTGTGGCAACATCCCCCACTGATTCATCCTTGAACTCCCCAACTCACCGTCGTCGACACCCAAAGCCATGGACACACACACACACCACTGGCATTAGTCACACCTTCATTTCTTTGGGAACGAGTCGCCATTGGTGGTCTTGGGGTTTTGGCTCTGGCTTTGGCTTTGCCGTTGGCTTTGGCTTTGGCGAGAGGCGTGCGAATCCGGCGCAGATACAAGATACAAGATACTCGTACTATGAGATACACATTGTGGGCTGTCTTTGTTTGCTCTCTTTGTCTCCCTTTACTTCGCTCGTTCGATGTAGCAGCAACAACGAAAAACCCAGGCAAAGTTGCTCTTGTCTTTTTTTCTTTCGATTTCTCGTTTTTTGTATTTTGTTGTTGTTTTTTTTTTTTTTTTTTCCTTCCAAATTACACAAACAAAATGGCGGCGGGTGCTACTTGTGGGGTCTCCGCACGCAGCAGCAACATCAACAGCAAAAGCAACAGCAACAGCAACATCAACAGACACAGCAGCAACTTGTCCGGGGTTTACTAGGCCTGTTTGTCGCCTAATCGAAGTCGAGCCGACGAGTTATGGTAATTAAAAAGGTGTTCCTTTCTGCAACACAACGGATCGAAACGGATCGAAATGGATTGGGCAATATATAAAGAGAGGGTCTTGCGATGCCGAGGACTGGAGACATTGCAGCTTGCTTGGGGGGTCTTCTCCTCCATCGCCCTTTTCTCCGCCGACAGAAAAAAACTCCAATACTGCCGTCGTCATCGTCGTCGTCGACAAATTCATATTTTATGACAACAACTTTGTATTGGCACAGGGCTCGGGCTCGGGCTCGGGCTCCCTCCTCGAAGTTGCCCCTTCTATAAATTCCCCACCTTCGATTTAATCGTGCCATTTGGTGGGTGGTCGTTGGCTGTTCTCTGTTGCCTGTTGGCTGTTGGCTGTAGGCTTTTGCCAATCTTTTGCCGCCGCAGCCGTCGATGTTGCTGGCGTGTAAAGTGAACGGCGAGGCGACGCCGCCAAATCGTCAGCAAAAATTTACGGTAACCGGGAAAGAAATTACATTCTGAAAAATGGTTTTAGTGTAGATTAAAAAAAAAACTATTTCCACAAAGAGACTATCCTTTCAGCAGTAATGTACTATTAATAGGAAGTTAAAAGTTGTAAGATTCAGCAAATATTAGAGAGCATTGTTTCTTTAGTGGGTTTCTCTGTTTCTTTCAGTGCTTTTTTGTTTTTTTTTTTTTTTTGTTTTTCGTGTTAGGAGTTTTCCGCCGTCTGAGAGTTTTCGTGAATTCCTTGCACCGTTCCTTGGTCTCTCGTTTTTGTTTTCCCCCGGTTGGTCGAAACGAACTAGCCACGGCCCTCAGACAATTTCACTAATCGCCACCATTTGCATCTATTTTCGTTTTCGTTTCGGCGCCCGCAGACGATCCTGAACTCGATGCACAAGTACCAGCCGCGTTTCCATCTGGTGCGAGCCAACGACATCCTGAAGCTGCCGTACTCCACGTTTCGCACGTACGTCTTCAAGGAGACCGAGTTCATCGCGGTCACTGCATATCAGAATGAGAAGGTGAGTCCCCCATGCAAAGTGCCTCCATGGATACTGACCTCCTTACTTGCATTTCCTCCCCACAGATAACTCAGTTGAAAATCGACAACAATCCCTTCGCGAAGGGCTTTCGTGATACTGGTGCCGGCAAGCGGGAAAAGAAGTGAGTATCAATAGATAGAACAAAGGGGGATTAAATGACAACAAAATATATGTTCCACTACAACTCAATTTAGGAGCTTTATAACATTTGATACCCAAGATCTAACCATGAGTAAAAAATCGTTACTTCCACTGTAATCCCTGCCGAATTCTCTATTCCCCCGAAAAATCATTATCAAAAAGCGAACTAATCAGGACACGGCTAATGGGAAAAAGGGCAGAGTGGAATTGGTTGGCCTTTTGTGGCTGTCAGACAATCAAAAGTTTGCAGCTCCCTAGCCGAGAACTCATTTGTCTCCCTGGTCTGGGTATCTACCATTTAGCATTTGCCATCCAGCAGCTACCAACTACCAACTGCCAACTACCATCTACCGTCTACATCTCCATCTCAATCGGGCCAGCCATCTATCCATCCATCTATGTATCCCTATGTAGTCCCCCCTTTTCCTGTTTTGTGGCTTGATTAGCAGGCCAAAAAGCGCACACACAGATACTCGGATGTACAGACACAGTTACACAGATTCCACTGACACACACAGATACAGATACAAATACAGATACAGATACAGATACAGATACAGATACAGAGGGACATTAATTTTTGTCAAATCTATGCGGAACTAATTAGCCTGCAGCTTGTCAAATTGCAAGTCATACAAAGGAGGCGGCCGCAGTGGGCGTGGCGCTGGGGCAGCCAATGATGGTGATGATGATGATGTGATGCTCATGGCCATTCTGTTGGCTTCTGTTTTTCGAGGGTAATTCTGATGACTGGCACCTCCGATGGCAGCTCGAACATGTAATCCATATTGATGGATTGATTTCAATTTCCTGTCGGCGGAGGGAGAAATCCCCCCGAAGGGCTGTTAACGATGCTCGATGATGGTCGTTGGTCAGGAAAAGCTTTGAGTTTTTAGCACACACACAGATTTTCAATTTCTGTTTGCCACCCGCTGGCGGGTTTTTTTCCGCAGGGATGGATGGAGAGAGGAGGCTTCTGAGATCCCCTTTTTGGGTTTTTGGTTTTTTTTTTTTTTTTTCGTGGAGTGGTTCCGGTTTCCTGTGGGCGGGTGATGACTTAGCATAATGATGAATGACATTTAATAGCCAAAGCTGACTCTTTAGCCCCCTCCCTTTGCTCCCTTGTCCAAAATGTCCATGTTTAAACGTTACAAATCAATTTTCACCCACTGCTGGCATATTGCAGCCACCCAGCCACCCAACCACCCAGCAACATCCACCGCATTTGACACAAACAATTTACTCAAGTCGAGTTTGGGTCGAGTTTTTGTGTGTGTGCGGTGGAGAACTGATTACTTCTGGCTTGATTGGCATTAGCGTGTCTGTCTAACCTAAGCTCTCTTTTTTCCAGGCCGTAAGGGAAAAAATCAAAGAATTTGCCTGGTCATTGATGTGACAGGCAGTTGTCAGTAAGCCAGCCAGCCAGACACACAGTCAGTTAGCCGGGGCAAGAAAACAATTGTTAATTAAATGCTTGGCGAAAAAGGGAAGCCCGAAAAAGGGGTCAAACACACAAAACCGCTAAACCGCTTACAATTCCGCAGAGCAAAATGCCAGAAGAAGTTGAAGGCGAACACGAGTCCTGAGGAGAGCTGCCAAAAATCCTTGGCAATTAGTGACGACTTAGTCAACTCTTTTTTTGTTGTTGTTGTTGCAACCCCCTTAACGGTCACGCCTCTCCCATGACAACAACAACAGCAACAACGATAACGAAAAAGGGGAAATAAAGCCTGGGTGCTGCTGTAAAATGCTGATGATGATGATGATGATGGTGATGGCATTCCAATGTTAAGTCCTTCACAGCAAGAGATGCTAATTGGTGGCAATCTAGTGCGCAACTTCCGGCGGAATGATATTCAACTGCAGTAAACTCCCTTTCTGCGAAACTCCAAGCGAAACCTTAACCCCCTCCCAACCCCCTTTTAACCCCTGCCACTGCCCGCGGCAAAACGAGAACCGGAAATCCAAAGTGAAAACGTTTTAACAGCAGCAATTGAAATTCGCTTTTCTCGGCGCCTTTTGTTGTTCCTGTTGCTTTGGGCTTTTTGCGCAAAAACTCTCACCCCATTCGAGATTCTATTTGATTCTTTTTTTTTTAATTTTTGCTAACCCGAGGCGTTAGTTGACAATAGGTCTCGGTCTGTGGATATTTATATACATACGTATATATTATATATATGTTTGTAAAGAGGGAAAATGTGAGGATGCTTTGTGGGCGTGCGTGGGCTGTTTAAGCCGCAAATTTAGACTAATTCAAAAATTACAGAGCACACAAAACAGCGCAATTTCTTTGGACCTCCTGGAAAACCACACCCATGGCAAAAAAAAAGCGACTCCCTTTCGGAGCGATTACTCCGTCGCTTGCAACAACAACAATGCGGGAGAAAAGGGCAATAGATAAACGTCTTCGGCTTTTGGGCCGAACTTTTATGGCCCTGCTGCATGAGAAAACTCAGGGTCGAAGTTGAAGGAAAAGCGGCCCAAATGGGGCGTGAAAATTTGTAATACAATTTACAATTTATATAAGTACACACAATGTGCATATTAAATGTTTAGCTGTGAACTTTTAAACTTGTTCCAAAAACTTACTACACTTTTTCCTATGCTGATCTTAGTCAAATATAATTTTGTATAATTACACCAGCATTTATATAGATCCCACAGATCAGTATATTTTTTATCGGTAAATTTTTCATAGCCCCAAAAATTTGGGCCTTCGCTCTTCCTCAATTCCTGTGTTACCGCACAAATTGTGTTTGATCCTGAGAGACCCCGTGAATAGTTCGCCGTCTTGGCCTTTGTTGCTAAGTGGGTGGGTCAGATACGTGGCCTGGATTAACACAAATTGATTTGCTATTAAATTAGGCTCACCAACACACACACACACTCGCACACACCCACACACGTAGACAGGTGGAAAAACAGTTAAGTGTAAAGGAAGACGCCCTTGGCGAAATGCCAGCAATGCAAAAGTGGGCGGTTCGGGTGGTTTGGGTGGTTCGGCGCGTGGTTTGGGCTGGGTGTCCTGCGTTCCTGGCGGCTCAGTGGTTTGGATGGCGCCTTTTGCACTGGGTGTGGTTGCTGTGATAATGATACACACACACACCATTCGCATGTGTGTGTCGGCTGCTAAAATTGCCCAATTTGTGAGGCAGTTTCGGCTTTGATGTGTGAACAACAGCGGTGCGGAAAAATAAGGAAAATTGAAATGGAAAATGTATGGCGAAGGGGAGGTGGATGGAGGAGGGTAAAAGATTGGCCAGAGCACAGACACTAAATTACACTAACGTGTTTTGAATTATTTTTCAATTTCATTGTCAGCCGCAGACATACGGACGGACAAGCGGACAGAATACGGACAGAAAATACGGACGTACAGGCGGCCCTTTCCGCCTCCTCACATTGTTACATTTCAATTAAGGTTCAGTTGGGCGATATGGGCGGTGGTTTTTAGGGGAAAGGCGGGTGGTTGGGCCGAGTGGGGCACACGTCACAGGTCTGACAGCAGGCACATTGCCGGCTTTTTCGGTGAAACACTGAACCGCCGGTAGCGCTGGTTTATCATTTAGCAGATATTTCTGTTACCAAAAATATTATCAAAGCTTGAGCCCTGATCCCAACGAAAATTCCGCTGAAAAAAGCCACCGACAATTGAGTTTGGAATCCTACCTCTCGCTTGGTTAAGGGATTTGAATCTAAGTGGGGATAAGGTTTAAGGCAATTTAAATACCCAACTCACAAGTGCGAATTACTCGATTAAAATACAAGGGGGTTTTCTCTCCTGTCCCACCTGACTATTGGATGTTCTAATTTGTGGCCCGTCTCTCGTACAACTGTTGTTACAGGCAGGCGCTGATGTCGAACCGAGGGTCCGATTCGGACAAGTTGAACCCGACGCACGTGAGCAGCTCGCGGGCACCGCTCCACTTGGGCCACGCCGGCCGTCCGCCGCACTTGCATCCGCACGCCGCTCTGTTGGACAACCAGCAGGACGACGACGACAAGCTCCTGGACGTCGTCGGCCCGCCGCAGAGTCCGCTCCTGCCGCTCAGCCACTCGCTGCAGCAGATGCACGCCCACCAGCACTCCGGTGAGTAGTTTACTCAATATTTTACCGAAATATAGAAAAAGCTATGGAAAGGTTTTTTGAACTGGACCTGCTTGTAATATCATAAAAGCTGAACAGAAGGGTTTGCTCAATGGCGTACTACTATAATAATAATAACATGTTAAGTAAGCTAACATATCAAATTTAAATTGCTTATTAAATTTTCAAATAACTTCTATAAAAAAGGCTAAAATATCAAATTTAAGTTAGTGATTATATCTACATTACTATTTTCCATCACTACGCCTTAAGAGATTCCCTTCTGATTTGTGTATCCTCTAAACTATCCTCACTAAATGTCATTTATTTGATTCTTCCCCCACATAACAGCCCTGGCCGCCTGGTTCAACCACCTGGCTGGCGCGGGAGCCGGAGCCTCCGAGCACGCGGCTGCGGCGGCAGCGAATGCGAGTGCGGAGGACGCACTGCGTCGCCGCCTGCAGGCGGACGCCGATGTCGAGCGGGACGGGAGCGATTCGAGCTGCTCGGAGAGCGTCGGCGGCAGCACCGGCGGTGCCTTTAGGCCCACCTCGACGGGCAGTCCCAAGGAGGCGGTGGGCGCGGCTGCTGCCGCTGCAGCGGCTGGCTTAAATCCCGGAGGCGGCGGCGCCGGCAGCTACCCCTCGCCGAATATATCGGTGGGTCCGCCCATCCATCCGTCGCCGCATCTGTTGCCTTACCTGTATCCACACGGCCTCTATCCGCCGCCGCATCTCGGCCTGCTCCACAATCCCGCAGCGGCGGCGGCCATGAGTCCCGCTGGCTTGAATCCGGGCCTGCTCTTCAACGCCCAACTGGCGCTGGCCGCCCAGCATCCGGCTCTATTTGGCCACGCCTACGCGGCGGCTGGACACACGCCGGTGTCGCCGTTGCAGGGCTTGAAGAGCCACCGCTTCTCGCCGTACAGCTTGCCGGGCAGCCTGGGCTCGGCCTTCGATGCAGTGACTCCCGGCTCAAATGCCAATCGATCGGGTGATCCTCCCGGCGGCGGCGGCTTGGCCGGCGGTGTGGTGGAGAACGGACCGCGGAGCCTGAGCTCCAGTCCGCGACCTCGACCGGCCTCACATTCGCCGCCGACGCGACCCATCTCGATGTCGCCCACCACGCCGCCCTCGCTGATGAAGCCACGGGTGGGCGTGGCCCAGTCGCAGCACTCGCCCTCGGAGCTGAAGAGCATGGAGAAGATGGTCAACGGGCTGGAGGTTCAGCATAATGGAAGCGCGGCGGCAGCGGCGGCGGCTCTTCAGTTGGCCGAGGAGGCTGCCCAGCACCACCAGCACCACACACAGGCGCACCACCAGCAGCAGCACCACCACCAGCAGCAACAGCAGCAGCAGGCACAAGCACATCCGCACCACCAGCACCACCAGCAGCAGCAGCACCTTTCAACACTCGACGCACCACGGAGCGACGGCGGGTGGTGCGGATCAGTGACAATTACTGGACGGCCGCTCCGATTGCGAGGATGCCGGCCTGGAATTGGAACTGGAGTTGGAGGAGGACGTCGACGATCAGGAGGATCCCGATGATCAGGACGAGGATCGCAGCTCGGTGATCGATCTCGATCTGGATGTCGACGTCTGACCGCGAACGGATCACCGGCAAAGTCTCTAGCCTCCGAACTACACGGCCACCGTCTTCGTGGTTTAGCGGAGTGTGTACATATGGATTTGGATATGGATTTGGATTTGGACCCCCTAGCACCTAGGCATTTGTAGCATATAGTGTACTATGTAATCCCCCCCTCTCTCTCCCACACACTCTGTCTCTTTCTCGGCTCGAAGTCACTTTGCCTGCCCATAGCCGGCCTTAAGTAATTTTTTTTTGTCTCGTTTCTAAGGAAAATCTAGCCCCTAGAATTCGCCGGCGATTTGGAGGCAAAGTGGTGGAGAGAGGTTTGCGGAGGGCAGTAAGCGAAAAGTTAAGGGGGAGTGGCAAAAGAAATGAATGGAACTTTTTACGCCTCGAAGGAGCAGCACTTCAGGATCAAACAAACGGAAGGGAAAGGAAATTGAAGGGAGAAATATTGGACAAAGAGCTCCCCTCAGACAAATTTATAAGGCATATAATGTATATGTATCACCCATATATGTATATTAATTGGATTGAAAATAGCAACATCAAAGATGGCGCCTCTTTATATACATCTAGAAAACACACATATATATATATATATATATAGTATATATAGAAGCTGATATATATACAGAAGATTGTAACCTTAGTAAAACATAAAAAACATGAGAAGAAAACCCAAAAAAAAAATACCACAAAAACAAAATAAATGCAATTTTTTTCTTAGTCTTAGGTGGATGAATTTTTTTTTAGTAAACGTAAATAAAACCTATATACATAGAAATAGAAATAAATATATATATATATAAATATATATATATACATGAATAATTTATGTAGCTCTTAAGTACCAAGATACCGTAAACACTCAACAAACACACACACACATGCAGCACCACCCCACACACACCCAAACACACACACACACACCAGTGACGAGTTTTCTTCGTAGACGATGGAAAATGCTTATAAAAACAAAAAACTATATTAACACAAAGAGCTTGAGTTTTCCTAATTTAACTATAATTTTTTTTTCGATTTTTTTTCGTACTTTTAAGTTCTAAAAACCAAAGAAGAAAGTAATCGATTTTTTTTTTCATATTTTTATTTTAATTTCGGAACCCCCTGAGATGCTAATTTAGGGCACGAGTTCTGTGTGTGTTTATATCATAAATATATATGTATACTATAAATTTATGCATAAAAAAATATAATTTTTTTTATTAGTAAAGTACATTTTTTTTGTGTAAGGATTTAAATAAAATTAAAAGAGTTGAATTCAACGCATGTTCCTCGCATAATTTAAGAGAGAGCAACAAAGACGCAGCTAACACACACCCACACATCTCCCTCGCACACTCACTCGCACACACCCACACACACACACACGCGCACACAAAAAGTCCCCACAAATAAATAAAAAAACGAAGGAAATTCACAAAAAAAAAATTAAAATAAATTTCTGTAGCTATTTGTTTTCCTTGTAACCCAATAATAATTGCAACCCAATTGCAACACACCATCATCATCATCATCATCATCATTATGATCTTCACCTGCACCATCATAGGCAATCTTATGACGGAAGCGAATTAACTTTTTTTTTCTCTGTTGGTTAGCTGTTTTTTGAAAATGAATTATACGCAAAGCAATATTAATTATAGTTAATTAAATTTAAAACAAACGCAAACAACCCGAAACAAGAACAAGAACAGCAGCAGCAACAACAACAACAAGAACAAGAACAACAAATTATGTACGAAAGGATATATATTTAAATATATATATGTATATGGATAAAATTAATGAAGAAGCAACAACACCTCATGTCACTGCAATTATATATAAAATTAATTAAACAACAACAAAACAAAGGAAATTAAATAAAAATTATTACTAAAAAAAAAGACACAAACACTGCATTTTTAACAAATATTAATGGTACAACCTAAACAACAAAGCCGAAACATGCAAGCGAAATTGGTTCGTGTTTCATTAGTTTCCCCGCTTATTTGTTTGGATTTTTCTTTTTTTTATTTGGCTCATTGTTTGTTCTCTGCTCGCTGGGGAAAATTACCCTCGCATCCTTCCCCGAAATGAGCAGCGCCAACAGGAATATTAAATAAATGAATAAATAAATAGCAGCGGCTGGTAAACAGTGCGTGTCATAATTAACTGTTCGCCCGCTGACCCACTCTGCCCGCCAATTGTCTGTGGACGTGGGCCAATGGCAGGTTTGCCAGGCGATGGCGATGCTGAGGATTCAACCTTATAGACTCTTTTCACTCTGCTCCCCAATCGAATTTGCAGGAAAATCCCATTGAATATCAAAACTGAGGCATAAAAGTAGGTATTTCCAAGGCTCAACAGTTTTATCTACTTGAAACTTCAAATCTACTTGAAAATTATGCTTCCAGCGCAAAAAATACTCTATTAACATATTGGTTAACTCAATTTAATTCCATCACCGTCATCTGTGGCTGAGCTGTGCTGTTAATTTTTTATCGCAAACTGTCGCTTATCTGCACCAACGACTTGCAAAGTTTTTGGCTTCTCTCCTGTTCCTCCTAATGGAATTACGATGATGGGCCTGAGGAGTTGGCCAACTTGACGGTCGGATATCGAAGGTGTAACACTTAATTTAATAAAAAGTTTGTCTGTCGGAAGGAAGGCAGGCAGTTCGGTTCGGATTAGCCAAGCGGCGATTATCGACGGCGTGGCTAAGCCAAGCGTTAAGCACTGGCTAATAGAATTTGGCACGAATGCTCCGAGCTCGACGAGATAACGACGGATTACGGCAAATTCGTATATTTGGATCCGTAATTGAATGCCCGCATGCGGGGGCATATAATATATATACATTATACAGTCTGGAATCGTTGGTTACGCCCGACCGCCGGCGGTTGTAAATTGTAACGCTTCACTAGCAAAAGGCGCAAAGAGTTTAAGTGCGGCCCTAAAAGTTGCACAAGTTCCCCCGCCACTTTTATTAACCCTTTTTCCTCTTTTTTTTTTGTCTGTTGGCCCACGCACTGTCGATGGTTGTGAGTGTTTTGGGCCAAAAGTCAAATAGAATTGAATGCCGAACATAAATTACGTATTATTAATTGCCGCCGTCGCTGTCGCCAGTGTCACCAATGTCACCACCAAACAGCCGACCTAACCAACTGTTCTACAAAAGGGTTATGTCGATGTTGACAACAATAACTTCTCCTCCGCCTCCACCTCTGTGGCCACATCCACCCCAACCTACTCGTTCCACGCACTCAGATCATTTCCCGTGCAAGTCACAGATGTATCTTGTGGGGAAAAAAGGAAGGAGACTAAATAAAGAGCGTTAAAAATAAATGCAAAACATTTAATTAGGGATTATGAAAGATACCTCAATCTTCATAGAGGAATGCCACTTGGAAATCGAAATCGGTCAAGTTATAAACTCGAGAAGTCCAGTATTGAATGAATGGAAAATAATAATACCAATACTTTAAAGCCTTTTTATTTTAAGATCTGACATGTCCCACCTGCTGATCCCGACGACAGCCATCCATCACCGGAAACTTTCTGCACGTCATTGGGTCGAACATGCAAACACCCGCCGGTATAAATAGTTAGATATCTACCCACTAAACATGAATTGGCATTATCATAACTTGCGTTTTATTGCCAAAACATTTATGAACGACAGACAGCGCAGAGAGTTCGGTTCGGTGGGGGCAAGGAAAAAGGTGGGAAAGTGCGTGTCGAAAGTTACTGGGTATTCGAATACCCTTCGCTGGATTTCGAGGGGCGGTCCTTGTGACAGGGTCCCAGCCATAATGATCATAATAATAGTTTTACGGGTTAGAGAAGTCACAGTCGCAGCGACAGTGATAACGAGCAGCAATAATTTACCAGCAAATCGACATTGGGTTAAATCGACGAAATGTTCTTTCCTGTGTTTCCAGTAGTGATGAGCGATATCTATAGGTATTTGTATTATATTTGTGGTATATTTGTATTCCTAATTACTTTTTCTTTAATGAGTGTTCATTTCAGAAAAGCTTACAATATATTTATACCTTAATAAGCATTAGTTCCTATTGTAATGGTTCGGTTTTCAATATATGAAATACCATAATTTACAACAACATGTTTTGCAACCCTGTACCTTGTACCAGAACTAAAGGTCAAAAAGGATACACAGTACCTTTCCCAACACTGATTTTAACCCTTTGACGGTGCGTAGAAGTTGCGTGAGTTAACCCAAAAGGGGTGGCCTTCGGCAGGTCGACGGTGGGTGGGTCGCTCAAGTTTGTTATGCATATTTGATTAGTTAGCGCATTTTGTGGATACGCACAGGAAGTTGACTCTTTGCGTGCAGCACGTCGAAGGGGTTGAGCGCAGCCCCCGAGAACCCCTGAATCCCCCGTACACACTTTTCGTATTGGTCGATGGGCGGAGTTGTTGTTGTACGTAAGCGGCGCACGGCAGCAATTAAAATGCTCAACTTGTCAACAACGCATTCTATCCCCCAGTCCTCCTCCTGTCAGTGGCTTTCGCAAAAGGCTTTGATTTGTGGACAACAAAAGTCCAAAAACTGTTGACAACATGATGATGGAGATGATTCAGTTGACTGGTTGTTGGTGGCGATGATTCAGCCAATTTGCGAAGTTCCGCAAGGGCGGGGCCTCGTGATTTCGGATGCTGGACACTTTTTACCGGCTTTCTTTTGGCACTCGTACAATTTCTGAGTTTTTATTTCCAGCTTTTAATTTAATAACAACTAACATATTTAGGTTTTAAGTTCGTCGTATGGAAATTTTCTGGACCAGTTTGACATTTTATCAATCTCTGCAATCCAGTTGGCAGATCATAATTAAAATCCAGCTAGTTTAAAACAGCTTGCATGCAACATTGTAAGTTTATTTTGCATATGCTTCGTTATTCAGCGGCGCTGTTGAGTGGCATCTGATGTGGAGAGCCAGAGCCATTATCCAATATTCCCGAGGCGGAGATCCCCAAGGCCACAAAAAGCTGCCACAGTCAGCACCTCGACTTAATGGACACGACCTAATCAGGAAGCGAGGAAGCGGGGAACAGGAGCGGTGTGTGGGGCACGCATTCAACCACACACACTGGCGTGTCCTGGACCGTGATCATTTTATAAGCGAAATTTCCCTCTTTTACGATTATCCTCTCATGCGAAACAGGGTCTCGAAAAAAGGGGTTTGCGAGGGGAAATCGAGGGGAAGACTATCTATCAATACGTGGAAATTTGTTTTCAATTTTTCGGTTGCAGCGGTCATAAAAAGAGCTCACGCACACACACCTGTTTTCGGTGTGTGTGTGGCTCGAAAAAGGGTTGACAGGGCCGTGGAAAAGGGGTTAAGGGGGGGCTCGGCTATATCCCTGTACTCTATATACAAATACGGGTGTATTTGTGCAACCATCAAAATGCAAATGCGCGACCATAAATAATGTGCACAGACAGACGTTGGAGACGGAGACAAGAGGCCTAATAAAAACCACCCAAACGATTTAAAAAAAAAAAAAAAAGTGCCGAGAGAATATATATACCTATAAAACCGAGACAAAGCCCACTGCTGCCGAAATCGAAATCGAAGTGGGCGTGGCACGGAGGGGGGTTCTGTTTTTCGGAAGGGGAAAGGGGAAGCGGGGCTTTTCGGGTGACGCTTCAATGGCTGCGGCGTTAAAGGGTTGCCATCGATATGGTCGCTCTGCTCGCGTTTAAACGACGCGACAAATTAAAATTCCCTACATCCGGGAAAGGTATAACCCCTGCCATCTGAAATAAAGAGATCCCCCCCTTCGAACACCCCCGCCGCTTCTGCTGCGTAGGCGTTGCTCTACAAGTTTAACCAAAAGTCATGCTCGATTAAATTGCTTTTGTTTGGGACGCAAACGGAAGTTGAGTTACCGAAAAAACTTGAAAAAAAAAAAAAAAAAAAATAAAAAATCCATGGGACACCAGAAATATACAAGTATTATATAGAGGTATATCCCTCTCCATTGATCTGTGACGTAGGTGCGGCTTTTACATCATAATAAAAAGGGAGTTGCCTCCTTTTGTATTTTGCGGTGGGGGCGCAAATTTGAAAATCAGTTAACGGCCAATTTGTTGGTCGGCCGCAAAAGAGCCGAAAATAATGTGGTGCCGCTTGGTGTGGCACTGTGCCACTATTCTCAACAGCTACCAGCAAAAAAAAAAAAAAAAAAAACATTAAAGCAGAAACAGAAATTCGAGCAGCCCCATCATCCCAATGGCAGCAATCGATCCATTTACTTATTAACGAAAAACATTTTCCACATTTGACCGGCGGCTGCCAAAAGATGACAAGATGATGGGATGTGCCCGATATCTGAGCCTGCAGTTCGGCGGAACTCTATTTGCGGTAAATTGCCGACCCCTCAATTGACATCCCCCTAATCACACGAAAAATAAATTGGCTTTACTAAACATTTAAATCGCCGGATCTTTGGGTACTTATTTCGCAACTTCATTTGGTAATAAACTATTTTTTATTTTATTTTTTTTGGACACCCAGCGAATATTTATCATTTACAATCCCTAGTCTCTCCTTTTCTATTTTTTTGCAGTGCATCTTTTAGAACGAGCCACCGAAATGAGTGAACGGTGGACATTCGCGTGGACTGGCTAACCGAACTGGCTGACTGACGCTGCCATTATCCAATTTCCATATGCAAAGCCAGTTGACATTTTGCGGCAGCTACAATCGCCGGCTCCCTGCCGCCTCCGCCCATGGCCCTCCTCCTCTACGGGATGTATATGTATGTATATGTATGTATATCCCCAGCCCCCAAAACCCCAACCCATAATTCCCCCTCCCAACTGAGCCAGTGTTCCACTTGCATAGCAATTTCGTCTGCGCCGTTGTCGTCACTTTGA